TACAAGAAGGTAGGAAGATAGGCTACTGGGCTAGATGGACTGTTGACTTTCCCTCTTAAAAGCAAGGAAATGTAAATTTATGTGTCCCCTCTCCACCATGACCAAACACCCACACAAAACATTTTCTACTTCCTGTCTTCACATGTCCTATCTCCAACAGATAAGGAAACATACGTTATATATAATAGAAAATATTAATTACAATCTCAGCATCATTAGGAAATATTCAGGATGGACATATGTGCACAAGTGTGTAGTGTGTGTTATATGATTGTGGGGGAAGTTTGAGCTGAACACTGTACTGAGGAGAAGGAACATGTAGTGTGTTTCTTTCTCCATTGACGTTCTTTGTGAAGATGGAAAATCATTCACTCAGTGAAAATGGGATATGGGGAAATTAGGGTAATGAAAAGATTAAAAACTGTGTTTAGCAAAATCTATGGCCAGACAGTGTAGCCTCAAGAGAGGGAGAGTGGTGAGGGGAACTCTTTTCTAAAGTTTTTTTTATTAGGCTGATATTGTCTTCTGCTGCTTCTTATATCTGTTTTTGTTTGCAATAAAATGTTGTTTTACAGCAGCAAATAAAAGCAAATCATCTATTTAATGTTCTTAACAGATTTAGAGTAGATATCCTGTACCTAAGCCAAAAAGCAATCAACCATCCACAAGAGTCTCACATTTAAAGAGCCAACAGCACAACTACAATTTTCTTACCTTTTTGTAGTATTCGGAAAGTCAGAAATATATTGTTGCTGTTTTCTTTTGTTTCAGCATCACTTTTAGCATTCCAGCATGTCTTTATTACTCTCATTACTGCAGTTGAAGTATAATCTATTTTGCCTTTTGGTATGCAGTAAACAAAAAGATCTCATTCATGCTGGTGTTAATCATAACCCATAAGTCAGAAGAGTTTAAAAGTATGGAACAGGATTAAGTGAGATTAGAATGTGGTTTATAAAATCTCTTAACCCATATAAGTGGCACTGTTCCATTTAAGAAATTAATGGCAATGGTGAATCATCATCAGGTGAGCATGAATTTATAATGCAGTGTGGTTGCTATAAGAGAACAGTGCTGCCCTTGAATATATAAGCAGGGGAATATCTAGTAGAAGTAGTAAGTTTTGTTGTTGTTTCCCTGGATATAACGAGAGGGACACTATTAATGACATGCTGTGCCCAATTGTGGTCTCATGTTTTTAAACAGAATATTGGCAAAATTGGAAAAGATCCAGAAAAGAACTGGAGAAATTATTTGAATTGTGGAAAAATTGCCTTTATAGTGAGAGGCTAAAGGTCTATCTGATTAGCTTATCAAACAGGCTGTTAGGTAGAGCATAGTTTATAAGTACCTACATGAGGAAGAGATTTCTGGTAGCAGAAGGCTCTTCAAGTTTACAGACAAAGGCATTACAAGAGCCAATGGATGGAAGCTGAAGTTAGACAAGTTCAGATGAGAAATAAGGGTAGGGTTGCCAGGAGTCCAGTATTCACCCAGACAGTCCAGTATTTTTGCTTCCTGTCCGGTAAAAAAAATCAGAGAATACCGGACACCTGAGATGACCGGTATTTTCTGTTCTTTTTTCCCTGGCCAGGAGGTGAAAATGCCGGACTTCTGGCAACCCTACAAATACTCAGCATCTGGCCTCCCCTCAACCCCCCCGGCTCCCAACACACCCAGCCCCCTAACCTCAGAATCCATGCTTACCTGGTTCCGCAAGTCTGCCGGCACAAAATGGCTGCCGACCAAGGGGAATGGGTCTTAGAGCTCAACCGCTCTCCTGTTCCTATCCCTGCACTTACTCTTAAAGGGGACATGCTGTTTTAATGCTGTTTTATTTAATTTTTTTTTTGCTTAATAAGTCTTGGAGTCCTTTTTTTTTTTTTTCACTCAACAACTTTGGTTCCCTCCCCTCCTTGTTTTTCCTTCAACAGAATTTTTTCCCGTTTTTTTTTTTTTTTTTTTGGAGTGGGGAGGGGGGTCAGTATTTTTGTTTCAACCATCTGGCAACACTAAATAAGGGACAGATTCAACATCTGGCAGAGGGGCTGGAGCCTGCCAGGGTTGGTGGCCTGGCTGTCTGGCCAGCAGCCCAGGCACGGCCGAGGCTGAAAGGTACAAGGAGGTCATGGCTGGTGGTAGGGGCCCAGACTGGGCCAAAACAGAGCTGGCAACGGGGAGGAGTGGTAGGCTGGGGGAGCCAGTGGCTGTGGGGCCTTCCCTGATCTGGTAAATTCCTTCATTGACTGGCCCAAGGGTGCTGGAGCATGGAGGTTCAACCTGTATACAGGCAGTGCCCGGGTTACGTACAAGATAGGGACTGTAGGTTTGTTCTTAAGTTGAATTTGTATGTAAGTCGGAACTGGTACATATTGTAGGGGAAACTCTACCCAAACATTTCTCCAGAGCTCAGTTTTATTCTCCCACACCTCACTTCCCTCAGTCCTTTATTCTCAAGCTGAGGTGTCTGCTGAGAAAAGCTGCTCCGCGTCTCCCTGGTCTGCTGTGGGGGGTGCTAGCTTCGTGTCTCCTTGATCTGCTGGGGTGAAGCAGCTAGTGCGGGATTGCCTCACCCCGTTTGTAAGTAGGGATCCGATGTAAGTCGGATCCATGTAACCTGGGGACTGCCTGTATTGCTTGTTTTATGTGAGAAGTCAGAGTAGATTATCATAATGCATCCTTCAGGACTTGCAATATATGGTTCCCTATTCCACCTCTCAAGTGTCTTCAATGTTTTTCTCAGGATTAGATTGGTATGAAATATCAGTATTTGTGTTATTGGGCTGAATCCATTCTGGGAAGAGTCCCTAGACCCATTGTGATAGGCAGTACCAAAGAGCTTACAACATAAGCGAATGATAAGAGACAACAGATGGATACAACAGTCCACTGAGTGGGGGAGGCAAGGCTGCTGGAAAATTATTACGTTGAATGGAATACACTGCAGTTTCAGCCCATAGGCTGATGAGTTGTCAATAGGAGTTTTTTGCAGGAGAGAACATTTTTAAAGATTGTATCAGTGATGGCTTTGTAGATTTTTATGGAAAGTTTCTGCCATGTATAAGAGGTAGTATCTGACAGCGCAATGCAATGTTGTAGGGGAAATTTTCATGAGCAGACTCTGCAGGCAAGTATTATTAGGATGGTTTTGAGTGTATCAGTAGACTTTCATAGATTCAAGGCCAGAATGGATCATTAATAGGTAGTGCAGAAACCTGCAGCCATTAACATCTTAAAGGTGAAGAAAAAGTGGCTTATGTTTGTAGTGCAAAAGTGGAAACTAGTGGAGGGTTATCGATTAGGAGGGGCAAGGTGACACAGTCTGAGCATTAGGCCAAGAAAATGATCTTAGAAACAGCATTTTGAATAGACTGGACCTTTGGCAGACCAGGTCAAGGTCAGAAAGAAAGAGGTCCAGGTCATCAAGTCATGAAATGGTGAAGGTTTTTATGAGAATGTTGGTGGAATGGACAGAGAGAAAAGGCTGTATGTTGTGTGAGAAGAAACAGCAAAATTGAGACACTCTGTTCTTCCCTCTCACTGTTGAAAACTAGGAAGAGTTGGGAACATGGCAACCCTTCCTAAAACTAAACATGTGGTGGCTACAACTTCATGGCTAGATGGTGCAGATTTCAGTTCTTCTTTAAAAAAAAAACTTTGATGGATAATGTCAATGTTTATATATACAGATTTTTTTTCAATTTGTATCAAATTTAAATTTTCACAGTTGTGGGAAACTGTGAGAGATGGACAATATGGAGGGTCTAACAATAATGACATTTGAGGTTGAGAATAAAAAAGTTAAAGCTTTGTCACATTTAAAACACAAATTGTCAACATCACATTTCAAATATACAAAGTAAATAACTCTTAAATCAAACTCTCGTAAATTCTCAAGAAGCATTTTCCTTTTTTTAACCTACGTGCAAATTTCAGTTATTGTCAATGGAAATATTTTTCCTTCAGCTTGTTTATATGGCAAAATTTGACATTACTTGACATTTACTGACCATCAAGCCAACCCATGATGCACAACATATTGTGTATGTAACATGCATATCATTTCTACTGGGGTGTCCTCCACTCAGACAGGAAGAAGGGTTGCTGTTTGGATTTTAGGTCTGTAGAAAGAATTTATTAGTGGTTTGGACATATTGCTCAAGAGTCTTAAGCATCCTTCTTTGGCACCTTAGAAGCAGTGGCTAGGTTCATTGTACCAGATTTTGTGTTGAATTTACAGCTACTGTACAAAGTATTGGAGGTCAGTGTGTTTGCGTAAGTGCAGATCCATGGAGATTTTGGTTCATTGTATACCACCAAATAGAATGCAACCATGTTATTAGATTTTTACACATATTTTCTTTCCTGAATTCTGAAGTTCACTGTAGCAATTTCTTATTTATGCTATCAGTCACACAATCTTGCTCTGTGCATAAGTGTCTAACTTTTAATTGTGCAGTAAATGTTTTGTTGAAAGGGAAAAAAGCTACTTATAATCAATTATATATGAAATCATGCTGGTTTTGGAGGGCAAGACGAGATTTATAATGCAGAGTGAAGCATTAATTTAACTTAAATGTAATGCAAAGATATTGTAAATATAGAATAAAATGAATATGCTCATTCGCTTTTGCCCTTGGACTTTGTCTCAGTAACTTTGCCTTTACCTTAGCTGTAAATTATGCTTTTATAAAAATTTATCTTCTCCAAAAGCAAAATTTCTGTGATGCAATCTGTCAGAGAGGAGGCCAGTGTGTTTCCATGGGTCTCACAAAAGACAGAAATTGCCATGTGACAGATCTGAATTTTTGTAAAATTTTATTTTAGTGTAGTTAGCAAAGTGGAAGCCTTGTAATCTGACCCAACTTTAAGTGAATGCACTGTTACAGAGTGCGGAAGTAATGAATAGCAAGCAGCCAGCTCTGTCAGAGTACCAGAGCCAAAAGGAAGAATCTAGGCTAGTGGGTAGTTTACCTCACAGTATATGAAAGATGCAAACATCAGAACTTTAAAGGCTCTAAACTTATATTGTAGTTACCTTGAATGTGACGTTGCTTGTGAAAGCATGTGCTATATTGATGAATGGCCAAAAAGGTTTCTGAAAATATTTATTCAGCAATACAGTCGTTACCAGGTAAGATAACGCTTGTGATATTACAGCATGTTGCAATGCACTGCCAAATGGATTACTAACACTCAAAATCTGTGGTGACAAGTTTGGGACATAGCTGTCAATCCTTTAGTATTTTAAAAAAATTCCTCTTTGCTTTAGGTTCCAAATTCTGAAGCCATATTGACTATTTAGGATGTTATTTGTGTATTAGATTACTTTTCCCATTGAAATCATTGTCCCTTTGCTCAGGAATTTGTGAAAGTCTTGTACATTTAACATTTATGGTTATTTAGTCATAGAATTAAAAGTATGCCTTTATATTTTCAGGTTGACTTGCTTATTGACAATGAAGCAGAGAAGGATTACCTTTATGATGTGCTACGGATGTACCACCAGTAAGCTTGAACTTCCGACTTTTTCAAAAGCAGTTATAGAACCATTGCATTTTTATTTAAAGATTAAACAGCTAAGATCTAATGTAAATAATAATCCTATTTGTAGTCCATAGAAAGCTATCTGAAGTAATAATTCCTAGTATTATTTAACACAGTCATATATTTACATAATTCAGCACATAAGAAATGAGCATGGTTTTAAGTTAGATCATTAAGTCTGTTTTGTTCTTGGTTTCTTAGCAGTTGCATAAATACATGAAAGATGATCGTTCCATAATAGGAAAAAATTGTGGGCATTTTTATAAGAAAAGTAAAATTGTTTGACTAGTTAAGTTGCTTATTTGATTTAATTTTTAGATTCACTTCTTGTTATAAATCTCTTCAATGTGCAAAAATACTTTGGACTGTTTTAGTAGAAAGACTTAATAAATTCTATCTGGATATTTTTCCCCTGCACATTCCAGTGTTTGGTTGTTTTTCTGTAACATACCAACAAAAATATCAGTTACAAGATATCAGGTCAGTTATTCATTCCAGTTATACCAGTGTAAATCAATGGAATTCTGTGTGTATTAATGTCAGTGCAACTGAGGGCAGAATCTAGGCCACTGTTTCTTAAAGAAGACGAGATTATTTTTTTCCACACTTCATAGCTGAATACTTCTGATGAACATTGTTTCCATTCATATCTTAATTAATAGCATCTCAGCGGAGTGAAATGTAGAAGTTTCCAAATTTCCATGTGGTCTTTGTACTGAGCTACCGTTTTGTATGCCCTCCTCAGCTGCATATCCGATTCAGTTTCACTGAGGTCTTTCTAATTGCCTTTCCATTCATAAAGCATCGCCTGTTGCTTGTGAAACCTGTATGAAACAGTAGCTATTAATTATTTAAAACTTTCTTGCATTTACAAAATTAACAGATATCGCCACCATAAACTTTTCCCCACAAATTCAGAAATTAGCACTGAGATTTTCGTTAAAATATTAAATGCTGCTATTGAGGTTTATTGAATGATTTTAACTTTTTTATTTATTATGAAGCACTGTAGTAAAAAAAGTAAGAAAAATATATTGTGGCCAAGACCTTGGATTTGTTTCTCTGAATACTCTTTTCAAATAAGTTTAAATATTTGGGGATAAAATCTCATTATTGTGTGTGTTAGTTGTTATTAATATTAATGGGTTATATGCACATCAAGGGATGTAATATTCCAGGGAATCTAAATGCTGTGATGACAGATACCTTACAGTGAATTGGCAGATATGGGCCACATTCTGTTGTCTGTTGTGCTGGAGCAACTCTACTGAAGCCAAAGGAGTTGTTCCAGATTCACACTGGTGTGACATGACAACATAATCTGGCCTCTATGTTTGTCTCAAAATTGATAAAGTTAGTAACAACATCTCTTAGGTAAAACCAAATGAAAATAAGAAGTTTTCTGTTCACACAGGTTACAACTGTATTTTATATAGCTGGTTTATAGGTGGTTTCACTGTCACTCAATTTCACATTTTGTGTTGAGTTCAAATGAGCTGGAAATTCAAACAAATTTAGTTGCAGCTGCTCAGTTCCATGTGGCTTTTTGGGATTGCAACTATACATCTATTTCCTGAATCCATGGAGAAAAGAAGTTTGCTAAAATGTGGCCCAGGTTCACTAAAAAGGTTTGCACATGTGGACCAAATTCCAGACTTGAATTGAAATCTAAAACCTGATGAGGAGGTTTTCCTGATTTTGAATGTCATGACCAAAAATTTACATAGGTTTGCTGTAGGGATGTGAAGGTTAATCGTTTAGCATGATACTGGTTCCAGTGAACTGTGGGAATCATGACCGGAGCAGTCCCTGTCCGTGGTGGGCTCGGGTGCCCCACAGGCAAGGGCTACTCCAGCATCCGGAGCAGCCTCTGTCCTTCCCCGCCACACACACACAAACACACCCGCACCCTCTCTAATAGGCTAACCAGTTAAACATAGGCTGTGTCTAGACTGCATCCCTTTTCCGTAAAAGGGATGCAAATTAGACATATCGCAATTGCAAATGAAGCGGGGATTTAAATCTCCCCTGCTTCATTAGCATAAAAATGGCTGCCGCTTTTTTCCGGCTCGGAGCTTTGCTGGAAAAAAGCGCCAGTCTAGATGCAGATCTTTTGGAAAATAAAGCCTTTTCCGAAAGATCCCTTATCCCTCTTAAAATGGATATCCCTTAAAATGGATATCTTAAAATGAGGGATAAGGGATCTTTCGGAAAAGGCTTTATTTTCCGAAAGATCTGCAAAGCTCCGAGCCGGAAAAAAGCGGCAGCCATTTTTATGCTAATGAAGCAGGGGAGATTTAAATCCCCGCTTCATTTGCAATTGCGATATGTCTAATTTGCATCCCTTTTCCGTAAAAGGGATGCAGTCTAGACACAGCCATAATGTTTAATCAGTTAACCAATTAAACAGGATTTTACATCCCTAGTCTGCTGTTGGTATGTCTGAGAAGAAAAATAAAGGTGTCTTCCTTATAGTATTGACAAGACATTAACAGACTGAAGAATTACACAGAAAATGTGGACATGAGTTTACTTGAATTAGAAAAATATGTTTACACTCTCTTTAGTCCTATTTTCTCAATATATTTTTTATAGATCCATGAATCTTCCTGTACTGGTAGGGGACTTAAAGCTTGTGATTAATGAACCAAGTAGATTACCACTGTTTGATGCCATCCGTCCCCTTATCCCATTAAAACATCAGGTGGAATACGATCAACTGACACCTAAACGATCAAGGTATGTATAGATCTACGTACACTTGCAGGAATTCCAGATTTCAAAGTAATGTATTCAGTCACCTTTTGATTAGTAAAGTATCTACATCCTGTAAGTACTATCTTAGATAGAGTTCTTTAGAGACTAAATTTTTTGTTTGGGCTGAAATGTGTCCACTGAAAATATTAGTCTCGCATTCTCTTTTTCATGTCGAAGCAGTAAGTAAAAATGCTTAACATGAAGCTTCAGTTGTCACAGCTTGTTATGTTGCTGGTCACTAAGATACATTCCACTTTTATAGAAAACTAAAGGAAGTGAGGCTGGATCGTATGCACCCTGAAGGGCTTGGAATAAGTGTGCGAGGAGGTCTGGAATTTACTTGTGGCCTCTTTATCTCCCAACTAATTAAAGGTGGACAAGCAGACAATGTTGGGCTTCAGGTAAGAAAACACATTCTTGGTCATACTACTGCAACAAGCTCTCTTATTATAATCCGAGGAAAGAATCCAGTCAAAAATGTTCTTTAACCTCCTTATGCAACTGTCACAAAGGAACTTGTGCTTCTAAGTCTTTTTTCCATTTTTTTAATCAAACTCATGAAATGTGATAAATCAGCTAGCCTATTAAAATTCTCCTTTTCCTTCCACCCCTTATTGCTATGTAAACTAAAAATTCTTTTCATGTTTGATTGTGTTTGCCAGTTCTGAAGAGTGGCATAAAAGGAGGATTCTGTGATGCACCAGCATTCATGCTTTATACCCAGAAATATTGAAATGTAAAATACATTCCACAGAAGATCTTCTCTAGCTGGAAAACACAAGCACCTTCCCATTTGCCAAAAGCTTTACAAATATAGGCTAGAACACTTAAAATAAAGGCTAAATGATGAAAATCAGGAATAACAATTAAAAATGAAAATTTCATTTAGTGGGGAAATAATTTATTACGTTTAATTAGATTTTAATTTTAAATTACATTTATATCTTTTGTTTAATATTGTAGTAATGACTAAAAGCAATAACCTGGTTGGAACCCAAATGCCAAATGCACTAGGTACTATAAAAACATAATAATAGCTTCTTCTATAGATAAATTCCTAGGATACATAATGCAGTAAGAACAGCTCTTCTGAAGACATAAAATACTGATGTGGTGATTTAGGGGAAAATACCAAAAGAAGGGTAGAAAAATGTGCATCGTTTCTTGTTCTTCCTCCTAGTTCACACACATATCTTAATTGGGCAAAAAAGAAAAATTGAAAATGAAAATGAAAATTCCTGTTGAGCTATATGCTGGACCTCTTTTTATCAGAAATAAGAATGCTTAACCTATCTAACTGAAAGGGAAAGTAGACAGGGCTAATGTTTGTGAATAGGATGGAGTGTTGCTGATTTAATTAGCCTGGGTAAATTTGATTATGTGCGAAATAAACTTCTGAATGTGTTGGCTCCTAAGAATTGTATTTAATATTTTCCCAAAGTGCATCATATTAGGTATGTCTTACTTTGATATTTATATTTAAATTGAATTAAAAAGTGCATTTTCTAACAACCCCCTTCCGCTTCTGAAGATTTGTGCGCATTACCGGATAAATAGACACAAGTGGTCTAATTCCTGAGATGCCAGCTCATTTCAATTAATTCACACAGAGACTTTATGTTTTAAGATTTAAACAAATGTTCACAACTACATATATATCCATCTAATGAACTAGAGTCACTGTTAGATTAATCCCCAGTACTGGGGATCCATTTTTAATAGAGAGTGATTCTGTTCCAAGGCCTTGTTTTGGTATAAGTTTTATATAACTTCTCCTTCCTGGTGAGTTCCAAAGAAAAATTTGCCAAGAGGTAAAAGCTTGAGACACACACATATTGTGGACTGTGGTCATCAACAACTCGCTTTTCATCAGGAATTTTCTAGGAGAAGAACACCAGAAACAGATCTTTAGTGTATCATTCAGAAACTAACCATATGTGCTGCTCTGGAGATTTGGAAAGGGGAGCATGAATAGATGGTATATTCTCAACCTGTGGTCAGTTCACTAGGGCTGTGTCTAGACTGCATCCCTTTTCTGTAAAAGGGATGCAAATTAGACACATCGCAATTGCAAATGAAGCACTAGGGCTGTGTCTAGACTGGCGCTTTTTTTCGGCAAACCTCCGAGCCGGAAAAAAGCGGCAGCCATGTTTATGCAAATGAAGCGGGGGGATTTAAATCCCTGCTTCATTTGCAATTGCGATGTGTCTAATTTGCATCCCTTTTATGGAAAAGGGATGCAGTCTAGACACAGCCTAGAGGTATTCTCATTCTTATATTCATTCATTGCAAGAAGAGAGAAAACAAGAAAAAGGGCAGTCCCATATATAACTGGAAGATACCAATGTGATTGAAAAGTTATGGACATAACAGGAAAAGTAAAAGTTGTTGGACTAAGCACATATGGACTAAGCACATAGTGCTGCTAATTTGTTTGTCTCCTGCTTACCATTTGTCTCAAACCAATACCAGACATTTGATGCAGTCTAGGTAAAGGTTGTTTTTGGCCAACCTTGATTCAGAAATGCACTCAGATGATGTGCTCTTGAAGAACAAAGGTTGTTAAGGCAACCCATCCGCTCTTCTTGGTGAAAGTGCGAGTGGGAAGGACAATGGTAGTTTCTTCTAATATTTGATTGCCTTAGCATTCCACATCGATAAGAGACAATGAATGAGTCTTCCCAGGAGCTCTGAGCCAGGTTTTACCAAGCACACAACAATTCAGATCTCCATTTGTGTTTCTCAGACAAAGGCAAAAGTGTGAACAAAGAAAAAAAATTCCAGAATATTTTACTGTGACTGTGTTAATTTTAGATAATATGTATTAATATGAATGGGTAGTGTTTTGCTGCTCACCTAACTGTCTGGCTTGGGTTTGTTGATATGTGGTGTTAAGGATCAGCTTAAGGTGCCTCCCTAATAGGGAGCAGTAGCCACTTTCTAAAACTAAGTGAATAAGGAGAGTTGACAGGCAGTTCATTGTTCTAAATTGCTGTCTCATGGTAAAGCCAACTGCTTCTGAAATTTCACCCTTCTGCATTATTTAGCTAAATCTCTACACTTTTTTTATTCCAAAAATGTAGTCTGAGAAAAGATTTAACGAGCTTTTATCATAAAATCAATTTTAGCCCCAGATTTTTTAAATTCTTTTCACATGACAATTATTCCTTGAAGCGGTTACTGCATTTCTAAATGATTGTTTAGTCAAGGAATTTGAAACATTTGAAGTTTTGACCTTTTTACTACAATTTTATAATTTTTTTTTTCTGAATGAAGAGCACTTAGCTCTTTCGGATGTGTCTACACTGCACCCTGAGCTCGAAATAAGCTACGCAATTTGAGCTACGCAAAATTGTGTAGCTTGTTTAGAGTTGGTTTTAAAATAGAGCGCTATCCTGAAATGTCCCGTAATCCTCTTGGAACGAGGTTTACAGGGATGTCGGAATAGAGCACTAGTTATTTTGAAAAATATTTCAAAATAACAGGCACACTGTCAAGATGCGAAAAATACCATTTCAGGATACTGGAAGTATCCTGAAATAGTGCCACTGTCTAGTACCCTTTATGTTTTAATGTTTCTTCTCTGTATTGTGCTGCTTTGTCAGATTCTCATATCTATGAGGAGTCTCTTGAAAAGAAAGGGTTTGAGAATGGTAATAATGTTGAAAAGGGAAGCAATATACAAAAACAGAAGCATGAAATGAATGACGTGACTGTGTGTCTTATTTTAATGATGATGCAAGTGCTCTTTCTTGAAACATAAAGGCAAAATAAAGTTCTTATCTAATTTGATGAAATTATAGATTTTATTAGGAATTTTTCTACAGTGCATTGGTTATGTGAACAAATACATGGAATATACTATACAGCCCTAATTTCCATTACTTTGAACCTTGAAAAACATTTAATTTTACATGCAAAACATTCTCACTTGGATTATGGTAATAGAGAAGGAGACTAGTTTAAAACTGAAAACCTGGACAGATATCCCATCATTACATCATCTCTTTAGTGATACATGCGACATGCTATGTGTTTGTAATAATTAGGCTTAATGGCACAAAAACTCGTCTGGTATCAGTCTTAATTCTGAACTTCCTTGTGCTGGTAGTTTTAAGTCAGGGCTTTTGTGTTATTACTAGAATGGCAAGAGCCATTCTGAGAACCCAGAAGGAGCTGTTGCTTTTGGGTTCACCAGAGTGTGACTTAACCTCATAAAGAAGTAGGCTAGCCTTTCAGTATCCTGAAACTCTGCTATTGATCTCAAACATGTAAGGATTCAAAATAGATGGAAGGAAGTTGAATTAAAACAGAAGCAAATAGCAAACTAACATAATGACATAAGAAAGTAAAGGCATGTTGAAATGAGTGCACAGGTTCACCCTCCACACACATTCACCCTTTCAAAAAGCATTTAAATAGTTCTCTGTGTGGGAGGTATTGTGCCCTCTTGGTTTGCAGACATAACTTCCACCAATGTTAAGAATAATAGACATGTTTTGACTGGAGTCTATTAATAGATTTTATGGTCAGAAGGGACCATTTTGACTGTCTGGTGTGATCTCTTGAATAACAGGCTAAAGGAATGTATCCACCACTTTTGCATTAAGCCCAGTGACTTGCAAAGGAACCAGTGCATATCTTTTAAGAAAGACATCCAGTCTTGATTTGAAGATTTCAAGTCGTGAAATAACCAAAGCACGGCAATGCCTTGGTGATTCCCTCTTTTTTCCAGGTCATAACCACTACACTGGGGAAAGACCACAATATGGTTATTTGTCTCCTAACACATTCAGTTTCACAAAAGCAGATTAACTAACTAATAGTACACATTAGCCCTGCTAGATACAATCTGTTAAAATGGCTCAATTTCAGTTCTAGAGTAAGCAATGACTGAAAAGTGTTTGACTGAAAAGTTTTTGATATTTTAACTCATAACTGGTTAATTATGAATTATAATTAAGTGGTGCTATAATATGGATTCTTGAAGCATGTATTTCAGACCTGTTACTTAAAACTCAGTAAAAAGGCCTGCCTTATTAGGTTTGGAGAACATAAGAACATAAGAACATATGTAGGATTTTGTTTGTTTCATTGGTTGGTTGGGCTCTTTTTGAGACTATGAATCAATTTAAACTGAGGTCTTGTTGATGCTGTGGATTTGTAATGGGATAGTGAAGACTTTTTTTCTCTAGGTCACTGATTTTGATTTGACCACAGCCACCGGTGACTGAAAATTGTTACTATTTGATGGCAATTTTGTGGTATGTGAGAAAAAGAGTTGGTGAAGCCTCTAAATCAGTGGAAGGCAGTCCGCGGTCCCCACCACTGCTCTATAGCATGAAAACCATCATCAAAATTGGGACTGCAAAGCTTTGTTTACAATCTGATCAGAGATGCC